CGAGCCATTTTTCGAGGTCAACACTCAGCATTACAAGGGAATTTACTGTGATGCGTCCAACTAATGCCGCATGGAAGTAGAAGTAGAAGATTTACAAATCACGAACTTCTTCTTCCCGTGAAAGAAATGGTAACAAGATAACCTACAAATTGGAAAACTGTAGCCGTCATCTCTACTTTTATTTCCTTTGGCAATGGTCAGAAAATCCAAGTCCCCATCAGTCTTCTTTGGTAGAGCCAGAAAACCCATCGAAGTATTTTTTTTTTGATGTTTTGCTTAAAAAAAAATTAAACAAATCCCCCTTGAATTTTTATTTATTGACTGTCCTGTAATTTTAATCTTTCATTTTCAAAGTTCGCGGTTCCAAACACTGGCTTCTATTCGTGAAAATGCCTCGTGTCTGTCCGAGGAAAGGGATTTAGACCCTGTTTGACATCCATTTTGAAGGAAAATTAATTTTTGAAATAGTGATTGATGGAAGATTGTGTAGTTAAAAAGTAAGGAGAATTTTTGTGTTTATGTGTAATATTATTTTATTAATAGAATGTGTGGTTGAAATGAAGAAAGAGAAATAGAATGAGAAATAGAATGTGAAAAAAATGGGTGTCAGACAGGGGCTTAGTCTTGGGAACAAATAAATAAGAAATTTTAAGGCCTTGTTTGACTCCCATTTTTAACTCATTTTTATCCGAACTAATTTTTAACCACATTTAGACACATCATTATCAACATTTCAACCACACATTAAAATAACTTTTATCAAAATCTACTAAAAATGTGATTTTTAGCAATACCAAACAAGAGCTAAATATCAAGTAATGGCGTAAATTTGGACCGGGCATCCAAGTCTTGCCCTTGGATGCTCAACACGGGCACTTGCATTGGCCATTCCGGCTCGAGTGTCCAGACTCACAGCCCATGTAGACCAAACCTAACCAGACCTTAATTCAAGAAGACCAAGAAAAAAAAAAAAAAGAGGAAAAAGAAAAGAACTTATTCATAGATAGAGGCTAGGTCAATCCGGACTACACAAAAACATGGACCATGCTAGGCCTTTAGCGAGCAATGCAGGGACCTGACCTTCATTACACCACTAGATGAACGGGAGATTTATTTACAGTCGAAACAGTTTTGTAGACTGTCCAGGCTTGGATTCATGTAAGGTACTCAAGATTCTATGAAGAAAGTTCAGTAAAAGAATCCTTTCCATCCTCAAATGAAAGAAATACATTTCATCTAAAGTATGAAGAGAAGAAGGAAATTGATGGCTCCTCCAATATAAACTCAGTGGCAAGTCAAATGTATAAATCGGCCAATAACTGGACCCTCTTGCAATATCTCCTGCCAGACTTTCCAGTTTCACTTTGCCACTCACCTGTATTGAGCAGTCCTTTCTGATACTTCTTGCGCCTTTATATTCATACGAAATCTTGACAAGAATTTTGAAGGACTGGACGAATTTGGAGCTCATAATTAAGAACTTTTAAGAATATCCATTCCCATTCTTCTGCACCTTTTTCTTATGAGACATGGTGCACTGAGGGCATACGTATTCTAGACCATCTGTCTTTGCATAATCCTGAAAAAGTTCAAACAATGACAATCAAACCAGATGTTCATCAGCCAAGGAAAATATGTTGAAACTACAAGCTTATAAAGTAAGTGAAGCACTACTTTAAAGGCACCCAAACCAGGTCTCCGGTCGCATCCAAAATGGGCCCACTCCCCACATATGCCACAGTTAACCCAGTCTCCAGCAGCGCTACTGATGAATATTTTAAAAAACCCATGTTAGTAGTCAGCTCTTTAATAGACTATATGAGCACAAAAGATGAGGAGATTGAAGGACCTGCGACACAATAAGCAGCACTCTCCATCTACATCATCATGAGCCAATTCATATTCCAAAAGGTAAGTTTCATAGTGTCTTTTAAGTGTATTTCCAACACCCTGGATCAAACGTAAAAGAAAATAAAATGAGATAAAAATAGAGTATGCCTCTGCAGTTTCCATATGGAGAATATTTACATTCTATTACAACAAAAAGTAGACCAGAGTAGAGTCCTAAAAACCAGTCATCATTATGCACAAAGAAAGGGTATCATCAATTTATCAGGGCAATATAGACACCAAGGTAACAGCATCTATCCATTGAACTAAAACATATTCTACTCTAGTTTAAGTGCAGCGGTTACATGCATGGTAGGCTATTATTGATCCAGATGATAAAACACGCAAGTTGTTAATCCAGAATTCAAATTCACATTATGAGTCACAATCCTCTTGAAATTACTTATGTCACGTTTGGTTGGAAGAATTTAATAGCACTATACAGCATCAATCAAGGAAAAGAAATGCTAATATCTTGTTCCTATTCACAAAATACCACGTACACAATGAGCTAGGTGATTCCTAAGCATTGCACCAAAAAATATCGAAGTTTAGAATTAACAAGCTGAGTTAAGGGGCATACAGTCATTCTATTTGTCACAGTGTGATTGCGCATCTTCGAGAAAACCTGTCCTTTCCAATTTATACCATTGCCAACATGAAAACCTCCTCTCGTCACCACCTGATTAATTACAAATTACAATTATCACCTCTGTAATTTGTTATGTATTTTGTAATAAAACAACCAACAGATATTCTGTTCTCGGACAAATCAGAATGACAACACTTACCTCCCTATACAAATTAAAGAGATCAAGACGCTTTGCATTGAGTATAGCATCTGGGAATTCGGCAAGCCCGCCTTGAGGAATGAGACGAGTATGTCCTCGGAGTATCAAAAATTGCATTACATCCTTAAGAAACTCCTCCTTTGTAGTTGCAAGAACGGATACAGTAAGAAAAAGATGAGGATGAGGAAAGAGAGACACAAGTCAACATTGTAGCAATGCCTACTGGAGACTTCAGAAATAACGCCAGCACAAAATGTATCAAGTTTATATTTCATTTATATTCTAACCGAGGTCTTGAAATTGTGCAAAAGATCATGTTTCACCAATAACGACGATAATTTGCATCAACTGCAAAAAAATATTCAATGTGATGGCAGTTGCTGATCTTTGGTTATGTCATGAAATAGATCCAGTGTACACGTCGCAAGAAGTAAAGCAAGGTTGGTCTATTCTAATAGAATAGGGCAAAAGCTAGACACACATCTGAAGATTTCAGGCATATAATGTAGGTAGACACGTGCCAAATTGAACCCTATCTATTTTAATAGAATAGGGCAAAAATTAGGCACGAACTTAATGATTTCAGGCATATAAAGTAGGCAGGCATATGCCAAATTTCATTGAACTCTTACATCATATTTATTGAAAATATGCAAGAAACTGAACTTAGATGAATGTATCTGCTTATTATCTATTGGTAAACAGTGTCTTCATGCGTGCCCGAATAATTTATAGCACGGCATAATCCATAAACAAAACCAGACCCCTGATGCATCATGAAACAGAAGCAAATGTGATATGCAAGTCAGGGAAATTTACCTCAGAGCACACATGTATTGGGTTTCTCCCACAACCATGTTTCTTCAGAGGAAGAGGATTCAAAGAAATAATTTGCTTAGCCTGATACGAGCCTGTCGTTGATTTTCGCTGGGTAACAGGAGCCACTCCAGCACCTCCATGCTTTGTAGAAGGAACAATAGACGATTTAACCCTTGTCTGACTTGCATCATTCCCATCAGCCTCTGAAATTCCCGAAAAGGGAAGCATTTTCTGGTGATGAATGTGAGGAATGGGCCTCATGGCAGCAACTTTAATCATTTGTCTTGCTGGCACAAGAGGCACAGAGATCCCATTCACCAACCCAGTTTCCATATTACCATTATCTTCATTCTTCACAGTGGCTTGATTTCCAGAAACTAAACCATTTTGAGAGCCAATGCTTTTCTCTAGTGACCTCTTTCTACTAGGAGGTGGTGGTTTGAACCAGGTGGGAAAGCTGCTGATCCTTTGATTGTTCAAATTACTATCCTTCACCTGCTGCTTACAGAAGAAAAGAAGCCGCTCTGCATCTTCTTTCTCAAATGAAGCTACAGCTAATCCCTGGACACCGGCAACACCAAGAGCAACTAAACTGCGATATGAAACATCCGGTGCTAGTTGCCTCAAAACCTGAAATTATAATAATAACCACAAGAAGCACGAAACATCAGACGAAGGACAAAATGAGCTGGCAGCATAGTAATAAAAAGGCTCCAATACAGTCCATATGAAAATTTTCTAGCGCAGTTAAAACACTACTAAATCAGTTAACACTTCACGAGAACCAACAACCATAGAAGTAAAGAAGGCACATAAACACACCAAATGACAACCATCAGTTCACAATTCCAGTAGTTCTAAAAACTGGACCGGATTGGTCGGTACGACCAGAAACTGGGGAACTGGACTCGTGCCCAGTCCGGTCACTTAGTTTGGACCAGTTCGCGATCAATCCATTAATATAAACTGCCAAAACCAACAGTTCATTTAAAAACTTACAAAGTCTCCCTTCAAAGGTTTGAAGTCGACACTGCAGGAATATTATATCAAACTAATCACCTCTAAGATAATTTATCTCACGGATCAATCAATCTTAATGATAAAGGATGTCACTATCATATATTTAGAGTGTTTGACGGATATTATTGAGAAAAGAATGCATTTTAAATAGTGATATGATGGGAAATATGTGGTTAAAAAGTAAGAAAAAGTTATTGATATGATGGAAAATATTATGTTATTGAAGAATGTGTGTCAAACATGGGCATTAACATCTTCTAAAACA